AAAGAGTCTGTGTTTTGATGTGTATATATATTTATTGTCTTCGAAACCAAACCCATTTCCTGTTTCTTCAACGGGAATACTAGGAACGAACCCGGAAATTCCAAACACTTACTAAAAAAAAAAAAAAAAAAAGAAAGTCGGCCGGTGATTTTTTTTTACTCATCACGACAAGCAACTCGACAACTATCATAGAGGCCCAAGCGGCGGAGAACGAAGATGCTCCCAATCCCGATACCTGCAACAATTATTTACGACGGAAAAGGAAACCGAGCGTTATGAAAAACACAGTCTTCACATCACGCCAGGAACGACAAAAAACTTTTCTCTCTCTCTTTTTCTCTCCCGTAGCGACATTACGGACCCGTCCGGGCCGCCGAAGAAACGCCTCTACTCTTCCCCTAATTTCCACAAACAGGACCCCCTCCCCTATTGCTCTTACAACAAACGGGCCAAGACGACGCGAGCGCGAGTCGGCCGCCCTTGCCAGTAACGCGAGCAACCGGGGGACCCTCTTCACTTGGCTTCCGTCCTGAAGCTCCCGCGTCCGCGTGCGCGCGCACACAAACACCGACGAGCGCCCCGCAACCCATCCGGAGTCTATTTCCGAGTCGCGTGCTTTACAGCCTCGCAACGACGCCCGGCATTTCCCGGCCCGTTAGAGCTGCTCGCGGACGAGTATCTTGGTCCCGTCTCTTCCGACGAGCCAGCAACACACAAACAATCTAGAGCGCGGAAGAAGGAAAAAAAAAGAAATAAAGCTTCCCGGCTGACAAGGAGACGAATGGCGGGTCGACCGCTAGCTACTTCTCGAGCTCCGACGACCAAAGTCAGCGCGATGACCGTCCCGCAACCAAAGCGTTGCGCCTCGTGAAACCGGGCGCCCTCCAAAAAAGAGTTGCGGCTTCGCCGACGGCCCTCTACAACGAAGCGCCGTTGTCCCCGACGGACGAGTTGGTGCGGAGCACCATTTCTCATTCCTCACGACGTCAGCTGCCTCCGCGCTGCTGCTGTGACAAAGGCCGTTAGCGACTTGGGGGTTCCCCGGCGCCGTAACAAAGCCCCGGCTATTGCAAGACGGAATTCAATGTTAGCGGTCCAGTACGAGAAAGCGATGCTTCATCGGTGGTTGATGCAGAACCGCTAGCGTGAGCTACGAGACCACGGAAAGGTTTAAACGCCAACGAAGAAGAGGACAGTGCCGCGCGTATTATATACAAGAGCAGAGAGGAATCCCATTCTAGTATCTCTTATGCATAACATGGCAATTCATCGGGTAATTATTTCGCCCCACTTCTTTTTTCAGATCATAACTTTTTTTTTTTTTTTTTTTTTTTTTTTTTTAACGGGGCATCTAACGCTCGACAGTTTTCATGATTCCCCACGGACGATGGAAGTTTCCGGTACAATTTTCGCGCGACTCATAACTATTTTCTGTCCCACATCACCACCGCCCGCCCCACGCGTTTCGGGTAACGCAGAACGCCCAAAGCATACCGTAAAAATATGTACGACGATAGCAACGCGAAAAACAAACAAACAAACAAAGCAGCGATCGAAATCAAGTTTTCGACGTGGATTCCGGCGACACGGCCAAGATAATCACGGCAACCGTCATTAGAGTAATGGGCGTTAACGAGCACGGCGCCCCGATGCGTCGCTCTGCTTCTTGGGCCGACGCAGCGACCCGCTCGCCGTAAGCGTTCTCGTCACCTAGGGGACGGCATGAACACCGCGCCGCAGAGCCCGCCACTACACCGCTGCAGCGTCCGCCGAAATCGATGGCCAAGCGTCACACGATCGTCGCAACTGGCCACCCGAAACGCGGGTCGGGGCGCCGGAGAGAACGAAACACCCGTGCGTGCGAAAGAAAGAGAGGGGGGTCCGAAAAGACGTCTCCAATTTGAACCCCTTCCCGGGTATCTACCTCGCAATGCCGTCCACAATTTGTCTTTCTCGGTAACATTTGGCGGAGAGCAGCGCAGTCTACACTTGCCTAAGGCATCGTGCAATCTAAGACTATAGGAAAACCGAGAAATGAAGCGTAATCAATGGACCGTTTAGGCTTGAAACGGATTGAGCGTAAGCGTTTCTGCGACACGGCCCAGATACAATGACAAAAAAAAAAACGCATAGTTTATAACTAACTAAAACAGAAGTCGTGGAAACAAGACGCGGTCGACAGGAAAACAGGAAGCAAAATAATAACAAAAAAAAACTTCAAATGTCTAAGAACTAAAGTTTCTTTTTTTAGTTAGGCTTTGAATTATATGCATAGAATGATTCGAATATCGGGGGCAGCGGGGAAGTCAATTTCCGTCGGGGTCATGGCTGACAAGCCTGGCACGCGTCGCCTACCAAAAAAATAAATAATTTAATAAAAAAAATACCCACGCAAGGACAGTAATGCCAATAAAGCTAATTATCCCGGATTTCCTTTCATGAAGACGAATGCACGCAGTCCCAATATTGACCTCGACAGTCCGCCGGACCAGGTCGAGTGCCGGAGGCACCAAGAGGGGTTCGCCCACCGAAAGCGGGTTTTCCTGCACTGCAAGTCTCACAGTGGGGAAGCCCACCTCGCGGAAGATGAGCGCGCGCTAGATCGCGTAGCAGACACGCGCGAAGCGTTGTTCATTGTGGATGACGTTTAAATAATAAAAAGGCAGACAAACATAAAACAATACACGAGGACGAGAGCGTACGGTACCAGAACGGAGCGCAACGTTACACGATACGCAGTGGAACAAGAAAAGAGTACCGGTATTTGAGGACAAGGTCTTTAGATCACACGAAAAGCAAACAAGAGGCCACTATCGTTTCAGCTTCGGTCCGAGCGCGGCCGATGTTATAAGTCGAAGGGCCAATCAAACACCACAAAAAGCGCAGCGTCATGGCGTGCTCTCTGCTCCTGATAGGACTAGCCGGCGGAGGAGCGCGCACAGAGACTCGGCGAATACCGGATGGTCCTATCAACTGTAGAGAGCAGGCCATGGCGTTTTGCTTTTTGCCCTGTTTTATTGGCCCTTCTGCTCATAACATCGGCCGCGCTCGGACCGAAGCTGAAACGAAGTATAGCTACGAGAGAATACTCAAGTCTTACGTAATTGCAAGCAAAAGACATTTTGAAGTCCTGACTGATACTGAAGGCGAACGCCCGAGTCACTCTCGTGACTTGAAAAGAGCCATCAGAGGTTCCCTAGGCTTTACTTGCTGGTCACAGGCTCTTTCGTGCAACCGAAATCTTTCACTCAGATGCTCAGTCAACTAGACTTCGTGCGTCATGAAGACAGTACGTCAAAAGAGCTTCAGTGTTTTGGCAATACACGAAGAACGTTAATTTATCTAATTACTAGGAGCATTTATTATTCGCAACTGCATATTGGGTATGCAGGCTGGGCTTTTCTCTATACTTGTTTTTCACAAGGAACATTGTAAAAAAGTTCCGCTGCAAGCGGAACGTTACCAATTTCGTTCTTTATGTCGTCAATTGTGATATCTGCTTGTGCACTTACTTGGGATCCCTTATTATTACTTTCTCAACCCGTACAATCTTATAATGAAAAAAAAAAAAAGTTTTTGAACTTATCTGACAACCAAATCATTTAAGAAATACTTGGACCAGCGCATACACTTTGCGCAAAACTTGCTTCTTTCTAGGGGTGACAACCGGTACAGTTCCCAATTCGTTATTTCAAGATGGCGTCTTCGCCAGCACGCCCTTGTCGGAAGGAACGAGCAGAAATAAAGCGATAAAGACGCCTCACACGTTGCGACACTCACCACTGGCTCAGCGTGACGCAGCGCAGGGAAGCGTAGATGCCGCGACTGACTGATATACCACCAGCTGTGTTCACACTGGGCAAACGCACGTGGGAACTCAGGGTGGTACACTGTCAGGCGAGGCCATGTCGAAGTCACACTCGAAGAGTCAGCTTGTTCTCGGGGCGATGACGCCTTACCTTTGTGGTCGGTAAACCTTGACGGAAACATCGTAAAAAAAAAAAAAAAAAAAAAAAAACCTGTGCAAAAACGTTGTGGCGATGCATGATATTGAGAATTAAAGAGAGGACCGATCAATAACGAAATTAAAAGATTCCCCATTCCCGGTTCGAGGGCACGTGGACGAAATTTAAGTTTCAATCAAGAGTGCGTTCCCGCAGCACGAAGCGTTCTATAACATAAAGCACTTGTACACTGAGTCTCGAGCTACAATTAACTTCCTTCAGACTGATCTTTTCTTTTTAATTGTTCACCCATACGCAGTCCCGCTGTTTCGTCGCTGTACTAACAACTACCTAAACAATATTAAAATGAAGAAGAAGAAAAAAAAACGACAAATTTGCAGCTTTGGATTAAAAATTGAGTGCGCTACCCATGCTTCGAGTTCTGCCCGCTGCCTGCACCCTGCACTCCCCCCCCCCCCCCCCTCCGCCCCCCCCCCCCCCCCCCTTCCCCTATTTTTGTTTTCAGAGAAAAAAGGGGATAATTAAATTTCAGCAATTCGCCGAATGGCGACATTACGCATCTCCTGCAGGAGCACGTGTATGAGGTGACCATTGGAGAAAACTCTCACCTACAAAATCCTTTCACTTTTGCACGAGCGCAGTGTCTTTATTGCGCCGGGATGCTTGAAGCACACACGACTTCACGCGTCGTTAAATCGGCTACAAAACGCGGCGGACTTGTGCTGCAGGTAGGACAAACCTACGGTGCCTGGATGCCCTGTCTGCGTCTCGTGGCCCCTCGGGATAGAGAAATCCTCGTGGGTCGGAAGCGGGAGCCGGCGTTACAAATTAAATCATCCGTGGCCGAGATAAGCAGAACCGAAGCACCATAGAAAGCTACATGCAGGTGCTGAGAGATGCCAGAGAACGTGTACTTCGCAAACACACAAAGCATCGTGCAATGAACTCTGTGAGATGTTACACTCCGTTTCACACGCACTGGGCACTCTTCGACACTCTTACACGGACCGCGACGCTAACGCGCGGCATACTTACAGCCTGGTCGTTTCGCCTGAAATGTCGTCTCCTTCGATGCGGTAGATCTTGCCGTACATCACGTACTCGAAGCTGTCCGATCTCGAGGGTCCCGTGTCCGCGGGGTTGTACTCGCCGTCGTCCGGGTAACCGTCTTCGCGCAGCGTCGTTGCAATCACCAGCCGGAACTTGTCACCTGCGTTGCACAAGTGAGAGGGAAAAACGTGTGGGGTTGAGTGCATAGTATAGGAGTAACAGGCTACGTTGGTAACCGCGAGAAACGGGTCGTACATGGCGTACAACACCGTCTGCTGGTGCGAGCGCGTAGCCTGACCTATACTTCCCCGCCATGATGAGAGCGGCTGGGAAGTCTTTCTGTCGCCTGTCTCCAGCGTGCGCTTCCTACCTTCGGAATTTCGCGGTAGCCTCCAGCGTACACGCGCAGTCAAAGCACGGTGGAAGGCAACGAGCCGTCGTGCAAGCGGGACGCTAGATGAAACCACGCGCTCACACCAGTAGTTGACGGGGTTGTATACTATGTATATAAAGAGTAGAAAAGAGCGCTTTGGACTTCTGTTTCTACGGTGACGGCGTATGCCATGCGCCCGCTTGTACCTTCGAGTGGCAGCTGGTGAAATGAACGGAATATGATCGCTAACTCTCTAACGTATGCTCCGTTAAGACTATCACCCCACAGCGCGGAGCGTTCTCACATAAACTGAAGATGGTGTCGTGTATTAGAGCATTATACGACTATTGAAAGAAGGGAGGATGTTGGCAGTGCTACGTTAGTATCGACATGTTTGAACTAATTGTCTGGTGTGTCGCACGAACTGAGGTCCAACACTTGGAATGTTAGTATCAGCGGAAAACAAAATGGAACCAATACACCTCAACAAAGAATGCAAAAGGAAAGACATGTCGCAGCAAAGAGTTCGTTTTTCTATTCTAGCTTATAGATGAAGGCAAGGAAAGAGACGACGTCAATTCAGGGGTAAAATAAGAAAAGAATTGACGAAGCTCGGGCAAAGAGAAAAATAGAAGCGGTGCGAAAACGACCAAAAACACGAAGCAAAATAAATAATGCATTCCAGCCGGCCATTAATCACTAGCAGCTCCTCAGCACACAGAGAACACCTACTTTTTAACACGCGCCATAAGCATAACAGGAGACAGACATGTCCCTAAAAAAATAAACGTTTTGTCGGTCCTTGATTTTTCCAACACACAAACAAGCCCAGGAACCTATCAAGCACGTGACATCTAGGCCTAACGAAACACCGCGTGGCTAAACTAGAGCAGGCGACAGATCTCCCGTTTGAAACGTTTACGTAATAGGTCGAGCTCCACGTGTCGAGAAAGGCGTTAAACAAAAACAAGAAAAACCCGGAGAGAGAAAACACAAACAAACGTCCCCTTCACCGGTGCGCGCCCCGTAAACTAGTCCGAGACGATCACGACCGACCACACACAAAAGCGCGCAACCACATGTGCGACCGCGCGCGGGCAATGGAGGTCTCAAAGCCAGGCTGCCATTCACGCTGTCCGTGGATCGCTCCAAGGCCGCCGCCTCCGCCGTTCGCGCCTGCCTAGCAACGCCACAGTCGTCCCAGCGAGCTCCTCGCGGGCCGTCGACGCGTAATGGCCGCCCCATTATCTACCCGCCGAGGGCCTAAGGTCTCCCAGAACGGCACACGCAAGTTCGACGCGTTCCTGGACCGATCGTGTCCCTAAAGAACAATAAAAAGAAAACAATGGCGGTCACAGATCGCGGCGTGCGAAAGTCCTCGTCCGTCCGACAGCGCGGGGGAGGCAGACCGCCGTGGCCGCCGAACCGCGGGGAACGGCCCACCAGCGACTCGCGAGGCCTTATCGGCAGGCATGACGCACACAGGCGCTCGTGACACTGTCCGCCATTTACACCCATTCCTGGACGATGGGTGAGCGCCGAACTCAAGTCGAGAGGCCAAAACAAGAATCGAACAAAGGTCACGAGGTACTGCGACGACTGGGTGCGGGTGGGTTCACCAAAGAATGAATCGGACTCGTTGTCTCGAGCGGGTTCTCTGGGCTTACGTTATATTTTTAGAGCGTGACGAACCGGACTGACGCGCCGATAGCATCCGGCGATGAGTCAGGCGCCATAGCGGAAAAAGACACGGACCACTAGCGCCGCGCAGAAAGTTCGGAACCTGGTTATCCACGGCTGACGAAAATCCACTGTATTTCCTTTGTACACTGAGCTAAATTATTAACGACGTCGAACGGCTCACGAGAGTTTCACGAAACCAAACGGCGTAAAAGGGCGTTCTCTCTCAAAAGTCTTAAAAAAAAAAAAAACGAAAAACAAAATAAACTTTTGCAACAGCTATGGCTCCACATACGAGCGCCTGGGAGCTAGCTAGTACTTGAAACGACCTCGGAACGGGTTTTACAAGGTCATACGCAGACTACAGGAGTCGGGAGAGGAACTCGGCCATCGTACCGCCAAGATAGCGAAACTGAAATAGACAATACCCACCGACATTCCACAAATGAACCTCATTTATCGCCCACCCGTGAATACATCTAAGATATCGGAAGCGTGAAAGCAGGCACAAAACTGTTTAGGCACAGTAAGCGACGGGATCACCGACTCCTCCGAATAACAAAAACGCGACGGCGAAACAACAAGGAACGAAATAAAAGACCCAATCAAAAAGAACCGAGCGTCAGCGAAGAGCCAAGTTCCGCCGCACGTCCAAGGGCTGGGTAAGGGGAAGACGAAGGCGGCGACCAGGGCCAAAGCACCAAAGCTGCTGCAGCGAGGCGAGGCTTAACCGCGGAGCACGGGAGCCGACGACGGCGCACTACGGCGGACAGTATCCCACAGGATCCCGAACGACAACGCAGAAGAAACCGCACGTCGCAGACGTCCCACGCAGCACGAGCACCAGAGTGAGCCGCACGGCAAGGGTCGCCTAAAGTCGTCTCCCGGGCCCTTATCGAATTCCGATAGGAGTCGCCTAAAACAATGGGATCTTTCCAATCATATCGCCACACACGGCACCCCAAGGAGCGTCCCCGGCGCGCCACTGAGCGCTATGGGAGCCTCCATTGGCTATCAGCGGGGCTTCCGATACGACGAAGGGTGTAGCAATACCGCGCCAAAGACCAATAAGAACAAAAGACGTGCACTGCTTTACAAGAGTAACGGCGTGAAAGTGGAACTCTCTTAGACGTACCGCCGGCATCCTCAATCCCGATGCCATGGACGATAACTGAACAAAGGACGAGCCGGTAAAACAGGGACGAGTATTTACTACACGACACGCGTCACACGTATTACATGCACATTATTACGTGTTACGACTGAAGTGCGTGGCAGGAGCTGGGGCAGAGTTCATTCTCAACCTCTAACATAAGAAAGTCTTCCGAAGCCGCTATCGTGTAGTATAGATCAGTCTTGGTCTCTACCTTGCGATGGCAGCATTGCAGAGCGTAGATACGATAGCGGTATACTTTGTCTGTCGCTACGCATTAACTTCCCACCCCTCAACATTTTACGAGTCGGATCAGCTTCCAAGGGCCCTCAAAAAGAACATAATTAACTCGAGCATGTTCGCGTAAGTATTGCCCCGGTATCATTCGAGACCCAGACCGGCTAGAACACGACGTGCCGCACCACTGCCGCGGGACACACCTCAAGCATTGTTCGAAGCGTATGTTTGCTTCGTAGTAGACATGTGTGCTTCGAACATGGCTGCAGACAGTGACTGTCTTTTGTACGATGTTTCGACAGTGTAACCGAGGCTTGAGGCCGTCTTCGAGCCGCGATCGCTGCCACGGTCGTCAGACCCGGGGGCGCCGCACTTTGTCGAGGCACTCGAACGTAACTCTAGGATGTGTGTTACCTGCAGGCCTTGTGCCCTGGAGACACCGTTATCTGCCACTCGGAAACAATGGACGCAAGGACACTCGGCGAGGCTACGAGAGCCAAGCGTGAAAAAGCGAAGAAAGGGAAATCGATCCAGCGTCTGCAATGTGTGCACACACCCCTGAAATCGTCTCATGCGCGATACTGCGATAGACGAGGGGAGGAGTGAAGTCAACGTAACTAGGCAAATAGATAGACCCGCGAGGCATAAAAGAAAGAAGAAAAAAGACGGGGAAACGTTTGAGTATGCAGAACGGCGAGAAGAACGGCAAGTGCCCTCTCCCTTCCTGCCCATACAATTGCAACTAATGATGACCGAAGTTGCGTTAGGATGACCACGACGAAGGCCGATTAGAATGTAAAAAGCTCAAAGAAGCTCCTTCAAGCTTACATTTTAGCTTCTCATGCAGAAGACGCGCGACATCGCATCAATGATGAGATCGATCAAATCAGTAACGCTATTCCCAACCGACGCACTTTCTCTCAAGATGGCTAAAACGTGGGCGGCCCGCTCGTTCGCGACGAATTCCTCGAGGAGCGAGTCCTCGAATAAATCGACATCCGAGAATCAGCGGCGGCGTTCGGAGATTATCCGAGATTCCTTCTGGGCGCCCCGCCACCAAGTAAGCACCCTTCCTCGCAGAACCCGGAACGTATCGATTCTTCGCGAGGCGCGCCCACACGCGTGCCGCACCTTTCCCTCTTCGTTTACGCAGCTCCGCCGACACGATCGAGCACGGCGAGCAAAAAACAGGCGCCCACGAATGGGACCCAACCCCGACGCCTTCTAAGGCCTCGCGAGGCGCTCCTAATGGTCGCCCTGAATGGGCACCCGATAAGGCCCGCGTGTACTCGAGTGCTGCCTGGACAATGGCACTCGACGACGACGCTCCCGCAGCCGCTCCAAGCACAGGTGCACCACCCCATCGGCCACATCGCCAGGCAATCAACCCACGGTCGCGACAACGACGGGATCGCCGACGGCGAGAGCGGAAATCAGGGACGCAGCTACGTTACGCACACGAATGCCATCTTCGCGGCAGCGACATTTGGCCCATTGATCCCGCAGTAGTCCCCTCCACCTTTACTTTCGTGACTCGAGGTATTTCAACGACCTCTCCCCTCGTCGGGCAATCTTTACTTTCAGGCATTCAGCGTACATGCCTTTGAAGTTCAGACACGTACACGTATTCCTGTTGAAAGGGTCCACGCCAATGAAACCTCTTTAGCGCATGAAAAGGTCATATTGCGAATTTGCACGCTTGCCAATTGGTTGACCA